AAAATAGCTTTGCAGCGGCTGGTTTAGTACCACTTAATGCCAATCGAGTGATATCAAAGCTTGACATTCGGCTTCATACACCTACCCCCCCGGGAAGCCGCCCTACCAGTCGATCAAGCATCTTCAGCCCCAAAACACCTGCAAATGTCAAAGAGCTATTAAAGCAAGCCTCATCAATCAAAACCTTCCTAAAACAACGCTCAAACAGCCCCCCAACACCTTCAAAAACTGCACTAAACCAGCTTATTAAAGGCTGCCAAATTGCAATGCATCAAGGCATATTACTTGAGCAAGAAAACAAACAATTACGCACTGAAAATGAGAAAACAAAGAAAAAGAGGGCTCGTACGCAGAGACGACTAGCTCATGAGGGGGGTGTATCAGTGGGAGAGGCTCAGGAGGCATTTCAGCAGGTTGAGCAGCCAAATCAGGCAGTTGGACCAGTTCTAAACCAGGCAGTTCCGCCAGTTCAATCGCAGCCAGAACCACCAAGGCGCAGATTACCGACATGTGGAAAATGCAGAAATATAGGGCATAGATCTAATGCCTGTCCAGAGAGATAATATAGTCAATATTACTGCGTTGTGGTTGATAAATATGCCAATAAAGTAGATGGTAGATGGATGGGTGGCCGGGTGGCCCGGGTGGCCGGGTGGCTCGGGAATTACGTTAACGTATTTCACCACCGAGTGGTCCACGCCGCCGAGTGGTCCACTACACGCGAAAATGAGCGCTTTCTGCCACCCCCCCTTCTTTAAACACCGACCATGCCACCAAAACGCTCCCAATCCTCTCGAAAATCTATTGAACAAGAGGGCGGAATCCTACTAGCCATCAGAGAAATTCAAAGTGGCACTACTGCATCTATATGTGAGATTACGGAGCGTTTTCAAGTGCCAAAAACTACCCTACTACATCGCATCAGTGGGCAGCAATTTCGCGCCGATACTCGCCCCAATGGCCATAAAATGACTGAAACAGAGGAGGATTCACTTACACAATGGATACCCTCCATGGATACACGTGGAGCAGCACCTTGGCCTGCTACTGTGCGAGAAATGGCCAATCTTCTCCTTGCAAAGCGTAGTTCTGCTACTGCCCTTTCAATTGGTCCAAATTGGGTATCAAAGATTTTATAAATGTCGAGAAGAACTTCGTACACAATATTCAAAATGTTATGATTACCAACATGCCCAAAATGAGGATCCAGCAGCCTTACGCAAGTGGTTTAGCACTGTTCAACATCTTATAATTGAAAATGATATCCTACCAGAGGATATATATAATTTTGATGAGACAGGCTTTGCAATGGGCCTGATTTCTACTGCTAAAGTGGTTACTCGTGCTGAGTACTATGGTCGGCGAGTGGTTCTGCAGCCTGGAAATCGTGAAGGGGTGACTGGTTGAGTCAATCAATGCATCTGGATGGGCGCTTCTACCACGCAGGATTTTCAAGGGCAAAAGGTTTATCCAAGGATGGTTTGATGGCCTTCCAGGAGACTGGCGTTTTGAGCTTTCTGCAAATGGGTGGACTACTGATAAAATAAGCCTTCAGTGGCTTCAAAAGCTCTTTATTCCAGCTACTACTACACGTACAAAAGGAAGATATCGACTCTTTATTCTTGATGGCCATGGTAGCCATCTTACACCACAATTCGATCAAATATGCAGTGAAAATGCTATTATTCCACTCTGCCTACCAGCGCATTCGTCCCATCTCCTACAACCACTTGATGTAGGGTGTTTTGCTATCTTAAAACGCGCCTATGGTCATTTAGTGGAGAATCAAGCACGCACAGGTTACAACCATATTGACAAGTTAGATTTCCTAGCAGCATATCCTGAAGCGCGCAGAGAGGCCTTCAAACCAGAAAATATTCAAAACAGCTTTGCAGCAACTGGCTTAGTACCAGTTAATGCAGAGCGTGTGCTTTCAAAATTAAATATATCCCTACGAATACCTACACCCCCTGGTAGCTGACCAAGCAGCAGATCAAGCGTTTTTACACCAAGAACACCACGAAATATTGTTGAATTGCACAAGCAAGCTTCTTTGATTAATGTCACGGGCTCGGAATAGTAGATAATAACGAACTGAATTCCTATCTAGACTATTGTAGCCATCGACGAGAATATCGAATCTGGAGAAGAAAAGAGAAGAGGAAATCTATCTAGGTAATGAAGGGGTTTTATAGAGGTTGTTGCCGACATGGTTGAGTAGCAGCATTTGCGATGTATCATTCATTGCTGCAGTGTTGAGCCGTCATATATGAGCCGTCATATATGAGTTAATATCGAATCTCGCTTTCTTATTTTTGCACAATTGCTATATTGGTTTGATCCAGTGATCGTGAAACCATAGCAGTGTGTCCCCGTAGTGACCGACCAAACAAACCAGGTTAATACCGAAAACTGATTAATCAACGATCCTCCCGGCCAGCATGCCTCGCCCGAGAACCATTGCTGCTTCTACTAGAGCCAACCGAAACGAGACAAATGACAATGATACCAATCAAGACGAAGCAAATACCGATGCTGGCCAAGAAAACCAACAGAACCCTATCTTCATTGAGGGAGATGAGAACGAAGAACAACGTATGGTGACTTTGGAGGAGTTCTTGCAATACGCCTCTGATGAGCCCGAGTGGTTGTATGAGAAGCTCCAAGTGACTCACCAACGACATGATGACCGGCTTGACGACCATAAAGTCCGACTTGCTGAAGAAGAGCTCCGCAGTCAAACCAAGGATGGGGAAATCACCCTTCTGCGCCGCAAGGTTGTGGAAATTGAGAATGTCAGACAGCAGCTTGCTGAAGCGAAAGCTGAACGTGATGCATTTGGGAGCCAGATCGCCCGTCTGGTGATGGATAACGCCAATAGCCGTCAAGCCTCTCCAATGCCCATTAACCGAAAGACCACCAAGATCCCTGACCCCCCGATGCTCACCGATGGCAAGGAGCCCCGATTTGAGGACTGGCTGCTCCTGATGAATCAAAAACTCACTGCTAATGCTGATCACTTCGATACGCCCCAACTGCGAATAGCATATGTGGCCAGTCGATGTGAGGGTAAGGCCCGAAAGCACATCACCCCTCGCATGCGAGACAATGCCATGAACCCATACACTGATTCAAATGATGTGCTCAATCACCTAAAAACAATCTATGATGACCCAAACCGTGTTACCACCGCAAAGCACCAGTTCCGACAGTTATACATGAAGACCAGCGATAAGTTCCATGACTTTCTGTCTGAATTCCTCTATCTTGCAGCCGAGGCAGGTGTTGCTGAGGATGACTGGAAGGACGAGCTCTACAACAAACTGACAACCAAGCTCCAGGAGCTGTGTATCTCCAGTAGCATCCATGAGAGCACCTTCCAGGAGTTCTCAAGTGCTGTCTCGCAGACTGCAAGTCGCCTTGAAGTTATCAACTACCGGACCCAGAAGAATCGAACATTCTCTCCCAACAAGGATACCAACAAAGGAGCCAGCCGATCTGGAGCCACTGTCAAGAAAGAACCAGCTCTACCTCAAAGCACTAGCCCCACTGCTCCGCGTGCAGGTAGTGCTGGGCGTGATCAAATGATGAAGGAAGGCCGTTGCTTCCACTGCCAGGAGCGAGGCCACCTTGCACGGGATTGTCCCACCAAGACAGCATCTCCAGAATTGAAGGAGCTTGAACAGAGAACGCCTGAGATTGAACAGGGCAATGAAGCGGGAAATTTCTAGCCCAGGAGAAAGTCTCCGACCTGGAGCTAGATGGTGTCGACCTAGGCGAGTTGGATCTTAGTCAACTGATTGGAGGACAAGGATTCAATGTGAATAGTCAGATATCTTACAATGGAATCAGCATCCCTCTGACTACCCTAGCTGACACAGGAGCAAATGGTTACCTCTTTATAGACACACAACGAGCGACAGAACTAGTGAAATTATTTGGAATCCCTACCAGACGACTTAACACACCGATTGGTACCAAGGGGTACGACGGACGAGCTGGTTCAACAATCACTGATGCTATTGTTTGCCACTTGCTTGTTGGCGGACGACGATTCCTGAAACAGCCCTTCCTAATTGCCGACTTGGGTCAACATGACATGATCATTGGGCGAAAGTGGTTCGATAGCCATGATGTCTGGCTGAACGTGAGACATAGAAAATTGGTCTGGCCGGAACAACGGAGCCACTTGGACGACATCCAGAGCAAGCAGTATTTGGAGGCTCCAAGACAGATCCTGCAACATCCTAAGCCCGACCTTGCCCATCAGGCTGACATAGAGCGACATGACCAACGAATTGAAAAGGGAAATCAAAGGGAACGCTATCGAGTTCCTCGGAAAGAGCAATCAGACCGACAATCAGACATGGCCAAGATGTCACGCGCCCTACAGGGTCAGGATATTGACGCTATCACTGCTAATGTGAAGCCCCAAGGGAAGACGACAAACCAACAGACCATCCAAATTGATATTGCAGCAATTGGAGCAGCACCATTCCAACGACACCTGCAGAAGAAGGATACTGAAGTCTTCATTGCCAGCCTGTCTGAAATTGACCGTATCATTGAAGAGAAACGCGAGAAGGATCGCCAGAAAGAAGATCATGATGAGCAAGAACTAGTACAACAACTACTACCCCAACAGTATCAGGAATATGCAGATGTCTTCTCCAAGGTAGCCTCTGACGAGCTGCCCCCTCGACGGACGAATGATTTTCGAATTGAACTCGAAGATGAAAAAACTGCAGAAGGTGAAGTGGGCTATAGCCCTTTGTACAAGCAGACAGCAGAGGAACTGGAAGCCGCACGGGACTACATTGTGGATAATCTCAATAAGGGGTTCATTGGACCCAGTGCGGCACCCTTTTCATCTCCTATCTTGATGGCACGGAAGCCAGGAGGTGGACTGCGATTCTGTGTTGACTACCGGAAGTTGAATGCTATCACCCGAAAGGATCGATATCCCATCCCACTCGTTGATGAGCTGATGGAAAGGATCAGTGGTGCAAAGGTCTTCACAAAACTGGATATACGTCAAGGATTTCACAGAATTCGACTTGACCCAGAGTCAGAAGATCTGACTACCTTCCGGACACGATATGGAACATACAAATACCATGTGGTTCCTTTTGGACTCACCAATGGACCGGCAGCGTTCCAGCGCTTCATCAATGATACCCTCATGGACTACTTGGACGATTTCGTGACTGCCTTCGTGGACGACTTGCTCATTCACTCGAGAAACACTGCTGAACATGAAATTCATGTCAAGAAGGTGCTTGAACGGCTGCGTGCAGCAGGTCTCCAGGCCAGCATCAAGAAGTGCGAGTTCCACGTCACTCGGACAAAATATCTGGGATTTATTTTGACAACAGATGGCATTGAAGTTGACCCAGAAAAGACTGCTGTAATCTGCAACTGGGCAGTGCCAACCACTGTTCGCGGCATACAGTCATTCCTTGGGTTCTGCAACTTCTACCGGAGGTTCATCAAGGACTATAGCCGCATTGCAAAACCGTTAAATTGCCTGACAAGGAAGGATGTATCTTTTGCCTGGACTGATAAATGCCAACAAGTCTTTGAAGAATTGAAAAAGCGACTAACGGATGCTCCAATACTACGACACTACCACCCTGACCTAGAGACGA